CTCAGTCTGTGGAGTAGCTGGGACCACAGGCTCAAGCTACCACACCCAGCTATAAATGTATGTGTGTTTGGGTGGGGTGTGTGTAGAGACAAGGTTTCACCATGTTGACCAGGCTGATCTCGTACTCTGGCCTCAAGTATCATTCCCACCTCGGCCTCTCAGAGTGCTGGGATTATAGGCTTGAGCCACTATGCCCGGCCTTTATTTTAAAAAAGAACCCCAAGAGTTCTCCAAACCCAGTTACTGCCCCACTCTGCATTGCATTACGCTCTCCATTGCCCCTACACTTTTCCTGCCATCCTTTATTAGTATTATGCATTTTCACCTCAGTCAGTCTTGTGAGTCAAACATCGCATCCCACGGTTTAAGTTTGCATTTCCCTGACACCCAGTGCTGTTGACCTGTGGGTTGTGATGTTGCCCCTTTGGGGACTGCCCGGTTGTGCATGTGGCCTGTTTGTTGGGCGTTTGTCCTCTTCATGGATTTCATGTGTTTCTCTCCAGATCCTCGGTGCCTGCTAACCAATGGCAAGCTGCCACTGTGGGCAAAGCGGCTGGTAAGTCTTCAGGGAGGGAGTTACTCAGGGGCTGGCAGAGGAGAGGCCTCCCCAGCTCTGCCTTCTGGAAGCCCTTTTTCCTTTCCATGTCCCTCCTTGCCCTGGAGAAGCCCCGCCATCTTTGCAGGCTCAGTGAGACAGCCCTTTGTTCTTGATCAGTGCCCTATGCCAGGCATTGTTCTGGCTGTCAGAGACACAGCAGTGAACAAGGGAAACAAAAGCCTCTCCCTTCACAGGCTCACTTGCCTGTATGGGCGAGGACAGTATCCCAGCACTTTAGGAGGCCGAGGCTGGGATATTTTCCCTTGCCCACACAGGCAAGTGAGCTTTGTGAGTCTACGTCATTTACTTATGTAATAAGTAAATAAGTAAATGATGTAGCATGTTGGGTGCTAGTAAGTGCTGTGGAGGGAAAAGCATCAGGAAGGAAAACATGTCAGCCAGGTGCAGTGATGCATGTCCTTGGTCCCAGCTACTCAGGAGGCTGAGGTGGGAGGATCACTTGAACCCAGGAGATTGAGGCTATAGGGAGCCAAGATGGCACCACTGCATTCCAGCCTAGGCAACAGAGTGAGACCCTGTCTCAAAAAAGAGAAAAAGAACAGGGGCCTGGCATGGTGCCTCACGCCTGTGATCCCAACACTTTGGGAGGCCAAGGCAGGTGATTGCATGAGCCTAGGAGTTCAAGACCAGCCTGAGCAACATAGTGAGACCCCCATCTCTA